AATACCAAATTTTTTGTGCCATGCCTGTGCCAAGATTTTTGTTAGGCACAGGCACATGCCTGGTTTGCAGAGCCCTACTAATTATTATGTAAAAATATACTTGCTAATAGGTAACCAATAATGCAATTTGTTATGTACATAAGCATGTTCGACTTCATGTTCCTGGATATGTAGTATTAAATAAACCAATTATTACATGTCAAAAAATTTCAGCTGAAAAACAACAGGCATTGGATGCAGTTTTAATGGATAAAGCACATGTTGTTATGAGTTCGTATAAAACTGATACTGCAACAAATGAACCTGTACATTATCTGAAACATACTAAAAAAGCTCTCTGGGAAAAGTTTCATGAACAATACCATGATGGAATTAAGCTGACAAGTTTTTTCAAGAAACTAGAAGGAATAAATATACTTATCATGAGGATTTAGAAGGATTATATCATACTTGTCAACAGTACAGATATGAAATCTTTTCTGATCTTACAGAGTTTATCGATAAATATATAATGCAGTCTTTAGAAAAGGTATTATTTAATTTCAATTTTTTAGGTATAATTATTAATACTTATATAATTTATTTTTCAGAGCATTAGAAACAATTAATAATTGCAATGAATAACCTAAAGAGATTTTTAAAATATGATTATGAGGGCCATTTTAATATCATGGCAAATGGAATTACTTTTCATAATATATGTATTAATCATTGCTTGCTTTACACATTTGGTCAATGTAATGAACATTATACTCAAGTATGTAATCAATGTCAGGAGTTTTTCAACTATTTTCAGAAGATTAAGGATAGCATAGCTGTTATACATCACGAAGAGCTTAATAATTTGAAAGAATATTTGATATATTATCTCGCTCATTAAACAAGGAAGACCTATTTGAATGCATAATTTAATGCTATTTATTAGATCTGGATGATGATATGGCATTGGTTTTAGTTAATTATAAAATAAAAATTTTGCCTAAGACTGCACATAAAACCAAAAATGACTGGTTTAGAAAGAAAGAATGGTCTCTGTGTTCTGTTTTAATATATAGATGGCAATTAGATTCAAATAATTTTCAAATCTAAGCATTTGATCACTGGGCTACAGATACTAGACAAGATTCTTGGTTTATCGCCTCTTTGCTACATTTAGTAATCGAAAATCTTGATCAAAAACCAAAATCAATCATTATAATGTCTGATAATGGCGAGCATTATCACAATGCAGATTCAATGATGATATTAAGTTTTTGGTATGAATAGTATAATATAAAAGTAAAAAGATGGGTATTCTTTGAGGCAGTGAGGCAAAAATTACGATCGATTCCCACCATACACAGGTTTGTTAAAAGTTGTTTATTTTTATCTTAATATAAAAATCATGATACCACCCAGGATAATAAATAATTTATTGCCACTCTTTTTAAATATGATAACGCATATTAGGGTTAGAGAATGCTAGAATTGAGATCAGATAGTCAATTTAGTGTTTAATGGCAATAAATTATTTACTACACCAAGATGACTCCTTTATAATAAACTAATATTTGAAAATTTAGATTTCACATGCTATTAAGAAATATGTTCGACTCAGATTTGATATAGAAACTGGCCAAGATATTGAAAATGCAATTCAGAGAATTTGGGGAACCTCTGTATCATATTTACAATCTAATCATGATAGAGGTAATACTGTGTATAGTTAAAAAGGGTAAAATTAATATTGTTAAAATTGAAATTACTAACATAGAAACTAGAAGTAATACGCTACCTGGAAATTCAAATTTGTTTGAATGGCAATGGCTAATTAATAGAGATTTGAAAGGTTGTATACTAGTGCAGTCTATTCTGAATGTTGGTAATTAGACAATATTTACTCAAACAATTAGAAAAGTTACAAAAACATGAAATTAAAAAACCTACTCCACATACTTAACCCCAACAACACCAATTTCATATTGGTATATACCACCACCAAACTCTGCACGTATGTATTAACTTCATATTAAAATATAGCTAACTTATATTAAAATGTAGCAAATATTAATTTATATATTACAGATATATACCCAGATTAATTATCAAAGGAAAGCCTAATAAAGCAGTTATATTTAAGATGTGTTAAAATTGATGAGAAAGAAAATAAACACGAATTGGTAAAAAAATTAGAATCAAAACTAATAATAAACGCTCATACAAGTAAGTAAAAAAGTAAGAATGAATTTATAAAGTATTTCTGATAAAATGATACTATAAATTAAAATTAGATAACAAAGTATTAGTCGAAGAATTTATGGATAAAGTGAATAATAAAACTCAACAGTAAGTAATAATAATTTTTTTTCAAAATAATACTAAAAACTAATAGTGAATCTTTAGAGATATTGATAATATATGTCCTTTGTGTTCTGGTTGGGCTTTGAAAGAAAACCAAAAATTTGATAAGAAGAGTGCCAGAAAATGAAAAAAGTAAGAGCATTGTTAGAAGTGTTTTTTATAGTGGGAAATACAAACAAAAGTGATCATTACAATGCTTAAGACATGTACAAAGAATTATTAAAATGTGCTGAAGAAGGTGAAATTTCTAATAAAGAAGTTCCTAAACCTACTACTATTCAGAATTGGATAACCAAAACCATGGCTGAACATCAAAAATATGCAGCTTTAAAAGTTTTGAATGAAAATACTTTACAAAGTAGAAGTTCTTAATCTACGGCAATAAAACTATCTAGATTATATCATCAATTTTAATTTGAATTTGTTACAAATTCAGGTTGTAAATCTAATAAAATAATCATAAGTTGTGATAGTAAATAGTACTATGCAACTTCAAAGAAATATTAAAGTTTTGTCATTTTAATTAGTTCAAATAAACTAATTCAATTTTTTATTTGTCTTTTTCCAAAAGTGATATTTATTCTCAGATGTATTCTGTTCCTTATATATAATAAAAACTACACATAAAAAAACCTACATAAGTGCACACCCTCTCTAAATACATGCTCAAATGCTGACCCAAATATATACATGCTCTTTTTCTTATAGTTCTCTAAATGCATGTTGTTAAATCTTGGTTTCAGGATCGTGCACTTATGAAGGTTTTACTGTAGCCAATTTTTTTTTAAAAAATAATATATATATAAAGTTACATGACTAATCAAATAATATGTATTTATAGAAAAAAAGTGAATATGAAATGCACTTATAGAGAGTGTATTTCGAAACTGTGGCCACCCAAGCCATTTGACAAACCAACGCCATTAACATGGTGAATACTTACTGACATGACCACCAAGCTGACAGGGATGTAGATGGTTTAATTAATAGGAAAAACAAAGCCGCTGTCTTACTACTTAACTGGGAAAATGGTATCTGGGCTCTCACTACCCAACCCAACTTTAACGGCCAACAGGAGAGAGTATACTTGCAAGAGTTGGCTATAAGTTATTTGTCTAACAATAAATTATATCCTACATTAGGATACGTGTTAATTTGAGATAATGGACTATTTTTGAAGGACCCAATTTTCAAATAATGCCCACGAGCATTATTTTACGCTTACACAGTATACTTCATTATAGTGCTTTTGTCAAGAAATAATTAGTATTATTTAGTCAAATATAAAATATATAAATAAATTAGAATTTTAGCTAATGAAACCCATTCTGATTTTTGTCAATATGTAAGCAACTAGATTTTGCCTCTGAATACTTTCTGATATTAAGTAATTTTGATACTTATCTACAATTGAATTAATATAAATTACTGTTCTTAATGTTTACGTGCTAATTTAACAAAAAGTGAAAAAGATTTGAGAGGTACAGTGAATTTTTAAAACTTGGCTTATTAATGAACAATTATATTCAGATTAAATTATGAAATACTTAAAGTGATTGCTTTGACTTCTCTACTGTGTTATGCAAGATCGGACTTTTTATAAGTCGAATAGTGGTTATATTCAAGTAGGTAGTCAAATATAAGCATAAATATGATCAAGCAAGTAAATATTACTTACTATGTTAGATTAAATAGGAAAATTGTAAAGTAGTTTTTATTTTAGTATCAGTAAATAACTTTCTTTTTTTTTTTAATTGAAATAAAAAAAAAAATAGAGCAATAGATTCTTGAAGATTTGGACTAGCTGTTTATATGTAATAATTTTAAAAAAATGATAATGTTATTTAAAGTTTAAAAAACTGTAATCTGCTAGATTTATCTAATTGATCTACAAAATCTTGCCCTGTATGTTACTAATTATTTTCACTGATTGATAAACAGATCACGATTTAAGTATTTTATAAAATTAATAATGGGCAAAGAACTTAATTTTAATGATTGCTTTAAATTTCATATATCCCATTCCTGGTTTTGTGCAACTGTGTTGCGCAGCTATTTATATATAATTTTACTAAGACGTAGCAATATAATAATATGAGATTCACAGAAATTCAAAAAATATATTATAGTACAGTTTGAATACTCGAAGTTTGCTTAAGAGACTTGACGTTTCATAGCAGGATAAGTTATGTGAGATTTTTAAAAAAGTATTGTAATACAATATAAAAATTTTTTTTATCAATTGTGTAATGATCATTTAAATTTGGATAAGTTTCCCTTGGAAAATAGACCCTTCTTTTCCCATTCTCAAAATTTATCTTTTTTTGTTATAAAAGTTTACTTATAAATAATAAAATATTATTTCTTTTATTATTTGTTTTTTTATTTTTTTGTTTTTTATTATAAGACCACAATAGTATACCATTGCTAAACTATATATGTTTCTTGTTCTTTTATAGACTTTAATAAGGCACAACAATTATTAGCTTATTATGCACTAAGGCTTGCAAAGTTTTATTATTTTGTATAATTTGTTTTATCTCTTTTAAATATTAAAACTCCATTGTTATCGAACTATCAAGTTATTACTCCCTTCTGCTTGCACTCTGTATTGAGATCAAATTCAAAGCAGTAATAACAATATTTAAATAAATTTTTACATATTTTTATATATTAATAAATTTTATAAATTATAATTAACTCTATTATTCTGCACTATAGGTGTTCAACACCATAGGTTATTTCTCAAAAACATACCAAGTAAACAGAATCAAATATTCTAAGTAAAAATACTCAACACTCACAAAAACTTTATAAAAACTAAAATTAGAAACTTATATCTAATATTCATTATATTATATAAAAAAAATCCTTAAAATTGCATCCTAACTCTAAAAATAGGTGCATCTTTATATTATTTGTATTATAATTATATAACTTTTATATATTATAAATTTAGATAAAAATTCTATATAAACTTTATATATTAATAATTTTACATATATGAGGTATGAACAATAGAAACAGCCTATTTTTACAATTTTTTGAAAAATAAGTTTTTAACATGATTAACATTTTTCAATTATAAATGAAAGTCAATTTGTATAATAAAAAATCAAGATAATGTAAAAGAAAAATTGCATGAGGCTACATAGAGCCAACACATCATCATGATATTACCCGATAGTCATCTGCTACCTTTAACCAATCAAAATCGTAAAATTTGATTAATCCCGGATCAGTCTGAAAATCAAAACAAATAATTAAACTCAAAATAAGATAAATGTAAAAATGGGCCGTTTCTATTGTCTGTACCCCATGTAATTATATAACATTTTTATAATATAAAATTTAAATAGATTCTAATAAAAGTTCAAAAAAAAATTAGTTAATATCTCAAAATTTTACTAAGGTAACCACCTATTGTGTTACTAATAAAAAATGTTTCTCCCATAATTTTACATTAACTCCAACCCTAACTCTAATTATAACTTTTATTTTATTTTAACAATTTATTTATTTGACTAAATATTTATTAAATTTTAGATAACTATTAGGTAAATTTTATTTATAATTATATTTATGTATAAATTATAACTATGTAAGTTTACATTGGGTTTATAGATCTATGTATAACTTTTAAACAAAATATGGGGGTGTCAGTAGAAACGGACAATTTAGGAATTTTGAATAATCCGAAAACAAACTTTACCAACAGGGATACTTATCGTGATTGCATCATTAGTTATAGTTATTGTATGGATACTTGAGTGTAACTAATTACACACGGGTTTATGTTTAAACTACGTGGCCGAAGGCCACTGCTTTGGATATAAACCCGTGTGAAATTAATTACACTAAGATATCCATCCATACAATAACTATAACTTATTATACAAAAGAAATAAACAGATTATTAAAAAGGCTCTATTAAATGAAGGCGAATAATAAAAACTACAGAATAAAAAAAATGCCATGTAAAATAACTAGATAAATGTCAAGATAAAGTAACTTAAGCTCATTAATTTAACAATTATAAAGCAAAAATAAAAATTTTAAATTACTTTTTCTCGACATCTGTTTGATTATTTTATGTGTATTTTTTTTTTATTTGGTAGCTCTTTTCATTTTATTTCATATAATAGAGCTATTTTTACTGTAATTAATTTATATTAAGAAATTCTTAGCTTAAATAAATTTAACAATAGAGTATAAAATTATTACACGCGAATTTTTTATATAAAAGCGATTAATAAAAGCTGTTAAGTTATTAAAAAGGTCTCTATTATATGAAAGAGAATAGTGAGAGCTTTTAAGTAAAAAAAAAAACCCCCACTTGATATTAATTAAGTCGTTGTTGAGAAAAAGTAATTTTAATTTTTGATATTTGTTTGTAATAAATATGATTATCATCGAACAATTTTCAAATCCCATTAAAAAATCCGTAATTAGTGATCTACATATGCACCACTATGTTTTGATTAATTAGTCAATTGAATGGCCCTATTGAGCCGAGTACGAATATGCACGTATAGTGCCTTGTTTTTCATGTATGGAAGAAAACGATCACAACATTGAGTTAAAAATTTACAAGTTCGGTAAAGATAGACATGCTAGAATTACAAAACATCTCTTTTTTCTACGATTAAAGTTTTAAGTTGTTTTTGTGGTGTATTTAATAAGTATGCTGCAATTATAACACATTCTTGCACTAAAATGTCATTTTACAATGACCTAGTTATAAAGCAGCCGAAAAATTTCGACAGTTCGTCAGATATAATCAATAATGTTAACCAAATGTATTTAAAAGATAACAAATCACAAGATTTTTCACAGGAGTCTCTTAATGAAATTGTTAGAGAAATGTGTAATCTGTATAATGAAGAGAGATTGAAAGGTCAAAATTCACGTTCAATTCTTGACACTTTAGAACAATTTCTATTAAAGAAAAAGCAAAATCCAAACGATATTATCAAATTTTGTTTAAATGATCATGTCAATCCTATAATTCAAAACATTCTTGCAAGTTGTTATTGTTACGGTAAATGGATTGAAAAAGATGAACAAAAGGCGTTCATTTATTTTCAAAAATCTGCAGAAATTGGGAATGCTTGCGGAATGTTTGAGCTTGGAAACTTTTATAAAGATGGAATTGGTGTTGAAAAGGATGAAAATAAGGCATTTATTTATTATCAAAAATCAGCAGAAATGGGTGATGCTGATGGAATAAATAATGTTGGATATTGTTATCGGAATGGAATTGGAGCTGAAAAGGATGAACATAAGGCATTCATTTATTATCAAAAATCAGCAGAAATGGGACATGCTAGTGGAACAAATAGTGTTGGATACTGTTATCAACACGGAATTGGAGTTGAAAATGATAGACGTAAAGCATTCATATATTATCAAAAATCAGCAGAGATGGGTGATGCAACTGGAGTAAATAATGTTGGATTTTGTTATCAATATGGAATTGGAGCTGAAAAGGATGAATATAAGGCCTTCATTTATTATCAAAAATCAGCAGAGACGGGTGATGCTAGTGGAACATTTAATGTCGGATATTGCTATAAAAAAGGAATTGGAGTTGAAAAGGACGAGCATAAAGCATTCATTTATTACCAAAAATCAGCAGAGATGGGTGATAGTGGTGCAACACTTCAAGTTGGACGTTGTTATGAGTGTGGAAGTGGGGTTAAAAAGGATAAACATAAGGCATTTGTTTATTATCAAAAATCAGCAGAGATGGGAAATATTGATGGAACATATAACGTTGGTTGTTGTTATTTTAAGGGAATTGGAGTTGAAAAAGACGGACATAAAGCATTCAATTATTATCAAAAATCAGCAGAGATGGGGCACGCTAGCGGAACAAATAGGGTTGGGTATTGCTATGAAAAAGGAATTGGAGTTGAAAAGGATGAATACAAGGCATTCATTTATTATCAGAAATCAGCAGAAATGGGGCACGCTAGCGGAGCATATAATGTTGGATATTATTATCAATATGGAATTGGTGTTGAAAAAGATGTACAAAAGGCATTCATTTATTATCTAAAATCAGCAGAGATGGGAAACGCCAGTGGAGCACTTCAAGTTGGATATTATTATCAACATGGAATTGGAGTTGAAAAGGATGAAAATAAGGCATTCAATTATTATCAAAAATCGGCAGAAATGGGAGACGCTAGTGGGATGTCAAGAGTTGCAGAATGTTATCGAAACGGAATTGGAATAACAAGAAATCTCGATAAAGCAAAACACTGGTATCAAAGGTAAATTTTTATATTTGTGAAAGTATAAGATCAGTTGTAATTGAAATCAAAAACATATTATAATAAGTTAGGGCAGAGCAATAATCTAAAATTTTGCAAAAAAGATGATTTCATAAACGAAATTTCAAGCTATAAGCGATTTTTGAGCAAAAATTACACTTGATCTTTTATTTGTTTAGTAAATCTGAGGTCTTCAGGGCAACAAATTACAATATTTATTCGTTATATATCAATACATATTTTTATTTAATAACTTTATATTTAAATTGCCAATTAGGGAAAAAGATTTAACATCAGGTATCATATCATAATTAATTATTATAGACTATATTTTATTAACTATTTATAATTAAAATTGACTAATTTGTAAATAATAATTAGCTACAAATGAGTGGATGCATAATTCAGAAATTGAAGATGAATTGAAAAAAATATTGGTTGAAAATAAATATCGGTTATCATGGATTTCTTATGATGAATTTAAAGATATCGAAGTAATAGGTGAAGGTGGATTTGCAACTGTATATTATGCTAGATGGTATGATAAAAGCCAAAACTTACGCAGAACCGTTGCACTTAAACTGCTTCATAATTCTAATAATAATCATGAACAATTTGTAAGAGAGGTATAACCATATTATTCGTGACTTACCATTTTTTTTATATTATTTTAATAATTTTGAATATATCTTTCTTTTTAATGTTAAGTTAAAAGCATATTGTGACATTAGTCTTAAAGATCAGACTTTTCTAAAGTGTTTCGGTATATCAAAGGATAAAACTTTTAATGATTACATACTTGTCATGGAATATGCTTCAGAAGGTTGCTTGCGCAAAAAATTACATACAATAGCACAAATGGATTGGAAAGATAAATTAAATCTGTTACAATGCATTGCATCAGACCTGCAAATAATTCATTCTCATGACCTTATTCATCGGGATTTACATAGTGGAAATATACTGTTAAATAGTTTAAAAAGTGCATACATTGCAGACTTAGGACTTTCAATAACAGTAAATATTGCATTAAAATCAAAATCTGACGGAATTTATGGAATTTTACCATACATTGCACCTGAAGTTTTGAACAAACAACCATATACTAAAGCATCTGACATTTATTCATTTGGTATAATTATGTGGGAAATTATACATGGTAAACCTGTATCTTTTGATCAGAAAGCCGAATCACAATTTCAACAACAAGTATGTAATGGTTTACGACCGCATATTTACGAAAATACAGCAATATGCTATGTAGATTTAATGAAAAAATGTTGGAATATGGATCCAGAAAACCGTCCAACTGCAACAGAAATTTATGATATTTTTGCAGAATGGCAAAATAATGAAAACATTTTGTCTGAATTATTTGAATCAGATAAAAAATTACAAAATATAAAAGATGGAGATATACAAACATATATTGATTCATATTATAAAAGTAATTTTATTTCATTTACTAGTGGTTATAAATATCAAGGTAATTATAAGTTTTTTTGTTTCTTTTAATAAATTATAAAATTCTATATTTTATCATTGTTTAATAAACTTTTTTACAGATAGTAAAATTATATGAATTGAAAATATCGGATACTATTAATAGTTTTGGAAATTTACGCAATTCAGCAGCATTGGAAAACATAGAACCAGAAGACAACGAAGACGAGGAAATTTCCGAATCCCTTAATCCGGATAATGCTGGTTTGAGCGGATCAAATTATTAAATTTCAAAATAAAGAATTAAATACAATATGTTGCGAGACATTTCGTACAAAATTATAACCGATTGCTTGTGCTAAAGGGTCTTTAATATATGGGCCAGACCAATTTAATTCTTCGTTTAACATGATTCTCCACCCAAATTTTATATAAAACTAATGCCAATGCTTACTTTCGGCATGCATAAATATAATGGAAGAGAATAATATTAGCTAAAATTAACTTTAAATAACTTAAGGTATTAGTTTTTGTAGTTTATATGTGAATATTTTATGCCAATCATAAATTTTATTAATTATTAATCAACTTAGTCATAGTTATTTATATGACTCTTAAATTTCCTTTGTGTAAAGTACATTATTAGCTTTTTTTCTACATTTTTTTTTACGGCCATAGAATTACTGAAATTGCAAATTAGCAACTATATGGTTACTTTGTAGTAGCGATTTTCTTTACATTTACTGTATGTTTTCTATTGTTAGTCTTTTAGTTTTAAAGTTACTATACTGTATAATTATTTATTATTACTATACTTTTACAACATATTAGCAATACGCCTAATACTTAATTTTGTAAGTTTCAGTAAAGTATTTTATGCTATATTAAATGAAGAATCAATTTGAAGTGGCCTTAATTGGGTTAAAGTCTCCTTGTGTTCTCGAAATTTCATGATAATGTGAAATTGAAAGTATATTAGAAAGAATCAATCAAATGGGTTCAAAGAGGCATGCTAGACTTAGTCAAATGGTTTCGTAGTGTAGGAGGGAGGTAGACAAAATCTCAGGTCTAAATATATACATATAACCAATTAGATGACTAAATTTTTCTGGAGGGTGAGCTCTATAATAAACATATATCAGCTAATATCTGACACGTCCTTAGTGCTAGCAACGGCGTAATAAATGTGTAAGTTACCACCGATCAAGAGATAATATAAGTTACTAAGTTTTCGAAGCAACATAAATTGAAAATTGGCGCAGAAATCACCACTATAAATATTGAATTACTAAGTCTGTTTTTACTTATATGTGCGCAATACTGTATTTATTGAATTGATTACTTTAGGGAACTACTATTCGCACCATAGATTTTTGCTATTCGCACCATGGTTTATGTAAATCCTTTCGATTTTATCACATAATTATTTACAAACTTTTTAAACTTTGATTGAAGATATCTCAGCAACTAATCGATCAAATTCGATCAAAATATTTTTATTCGAATTATATGGATTTTTAGAATTTAAATAAAAAATTTTTCATCAAATTTGATTGATTAGTTTCCGAGATATCTTCGATCAAAGTTTGAGTAAAATTTTAAAACGTATGTCACATAAAAACTGCGCTGAAATTGTTTACAAAACTTTGATCGAAGTTATCTTGAAAACCAATCGATCAAATTTGATGAAATTTTTTTATTTGAATTCTAAAAACCATAGAATTCGAATAAAAAAAATTTGATCGAATTTGATCGATTGGTTGCCAAGATATCTTCGATCAAAGTTTTGTAAACAATTTCGGCATAGTTTTTATATACGTTTTAAAATTTTACTCAAACTTTGATCGAAGATATCTCGGAATTGATTGGTTGCCAAGATATCTTTGATCAAAGTTTTGTAAACAATTTTGACGCAGTTTTTATGTACATACGTTTTAAAATTTTACTCAAACTTTGATCGAAGATATCTTGGAAACCAATCAATCAAATTTGATGAAAATTTTTTTATTTAAATTTTACAAATCCATAGAATTCGAATAAAAAAAATTGATCAAATTTGATTGATTGGTTGCCGAGATATCTTCGATCAAAGAGTTGTAAACAATTTTGGCACAGTTTTTATGTAACATATGCCAACCCTAAATATGAAAGTCATGTAAATTATATTGTCTAACACTGTGCAAAAGTAATATTATTAACTTTTTTTAACTTCTATCTAGACGTTCTATTCAAAATTTCAATTGAGTTATTTTAAATATTATGTGTCTATCTTTTCTAAAGCTTTTTATAATATGAAAGTAGGCTGGTATTTCACAATTTATTTCTATCAAGTATTACTAATATTAGTACACTTTTAATTTTAATTTAAATATTCTATTTAGAACTTTGATTATCTTAATAGCCTTTTCTTTGTAGACTTTGTTTACATCCACCAATTTGGCATTTCAATATACTTCATGGATTAAATGAGTTACAAGTAGTGATATAAGTTGGTAATTACTAGTAGCTATCTACTACTAGTAACTACTGATAACTACTAGTAGCTACCATGAAGTAATGATATAAAGTAGTAGATAGTAAATAGATAGTTAGCAGTTTATTTAATCTAATTAGTTAATTATAACTTGCACTATATATATATATATAGATAGAAGAATTAGCTAATCAGAATGAGAGTCAGCTATACTATTAGTAGTGGTAGCTAATGATAGCTACTATCTATTAGTATATACTAATAAAAAAATTGTGATTTGGGAAAATTCACATTATTAGTTACAAGTGATAAATTTATTTTTTAAAAAAAAAAATTGAAATAACTATTGATAGAACAGATTTTTCTTTTTGATTTCTAATAAAAATCAATTTTAGGTACTAACACTAATCTAGATTGTGTATTAAAAAACTTGATTTACAATTATACTATCTATTACTTACAATACCCAGGTTTTATTTAAGAATTCTATTTTTAAAATTGAATAGTATCCATAAAGAACCAGATATTTTTTTTTTTTTTTTTTGGTATTAAGGTGATCTCTTTGGTCTGGGGAACTTTTTATTAAAGTATAGACGAAGTTTTATATGTAATTACAACGATGGTACATCAAGCCA